TGACTTGGTTTTTGTTTGTGTTCTTTTGGGGTTTGGGGAGTGTGTGTGTGTGTGTGTGTGTGTGTGTGTGTGTGTGTGTGTGTCTGCACATGCTCTGGTCCTAGGGATTTGACAACACCTGGGCAGTGTCCCTGAGCTATTTTTCTCAAGGCTAGCACTCTACTACTTGAGCCACATCTCTACTTCCAGGTTTTTGGTGTTTAATTGGAGATAAAAGTCTTACAGATTTTCCTGCCCAAGCTGGCTTTGAACAACAATCCTCAGATCTCAGCCTCCTGAGTAACTAGAATTACAGGTGTGAGCAACTGATACCTGGCATGGTTTGCTCCATTCTTAGATGTACATTTCTTTTTACTTTGCATTTAACTTTTATTCTTTTGGCATATGTTTCCTTTTCAAAGAATATCAAGTATTATTTAATATACAAGTAACTTTAATAGGTGTAGTTGTATTTGGCAGCTAACTTTCCATAAACATATCAAAAAGCTAAATGAAAGATACTTAAGCTCAAAGATAATGAATGACACTTTAAGAAAGATTTTGCTTTCCCAAATGTGGCAATGAGGGCTGACCCTCATTGTGTGGCTTAAATTTATTTCAGACAATACCATCAAACTCGTTTTATCTCTTTGCAAGTTCTATATATCACACTCTTGATGCTTTTCATATCTGGTAAATTACTGGCCATCTACCTAAAGGCTCTTCTATTAATAGTATGCAGATTCAAGTTTACTGGGAGAGAATAGAACACACTTCTTCTCCTTCCCCGTCTTACCCTGAATGCAGGGTTGGCTCCATGCTCTAGCAAGCACTTCACGGCTCCTGCACACAAGTTATATGATGCAATATGCAAAGCTGTCCCAAAGCTAAAGTCACTGCAAGTGGCATCCACATCTGCAATTAAACATCACAAGCACATTAATGAACTTCTTTGATATGTAATACAATAAATAGGAAAGTTAGTTGGGCACCAGTGTCTCACCCTTGTGATCCTAGCCTCTCAGGAAGTTGAGCTCTGAGGATCAAGGTTTGAAGATAGCCAGGACAAAAAAGTCTAAGAAACTCTTATCTCCAAATTAGCCACCAAAACGCTGAAAGTAGAGGTGTGGCCCAGGTAGCAGACACAAACCTTGAGTGAAAAAGCTAAGTGACTGCACCCAGGCCCTGAGTTCAAGTACCAGTATAAGCATTAGGTACACAGACAGACAGACAGACAGGACAGACAGACAAACAGACAGACAGACAGACAGACAGACAGACAGACAGACAGACAGACAGACAGACAGATAGATAGATAGATATAGATAATTTGGAATAGAAAAGTCCACATATTTAGAAACAATTGAAACAAAAAGTAAATCCCTGATGTATTAAATGTTAAACTGTAAAAATTAAATCATAAAGATATAAACATTGGTTAACACAATAATAGAATAACAATAGAACACACTGTTCCCTTAACAATTTGTGTTATATGGTAATCATAAACTCATAAATTATGGTAAAGAAGTTATTGATAATTTTTAAATACACAGAACAAAAAAATCCTAGTAAAATTTAAATGGAACAGAGACCAAGAAAGAGAAAATCAAAAGGCTAGGAAGGATTAACATTATAGAAGCCTTAAGAACAGTGTTGACAACAAAAATATATTAAGTTGTATCAAAGAAATTCTTAAACTTAGTTATTGCAATTGCAAAGGAGGTGGAGGTTGGTTTGGAGAAGAGTACATTCAGCCATTTATAGGACTTAAATCAACCCACCAAAAGTACTATTTCACCTTGGAACATAATCTTTGTATTTCAATCTGGGTCAAATAATCCACCAATAAAATAATATAGTAATACAATAATATACTGTAAAATGTAATGATCCCATTCTGGGTTTTCCAGCCATCACAAACTAAGTCATATTAAAAAGCACTGAATGATCCCGTGCCAGTGGTTCATGCCTTTCATCCCAGCTACTCAGAAGACTGAGATCTGAGGACTGAGGTTCAAAACCAGCCCAGTCTGTGAGACTCTTGACTCTAACAAACTACCAGAAATAAAGTAACCAGAAAGTGCAGTTCTGACTCACTAGCCTTGAGCAAAAGAAGCTCAAAGACAGTCCCAAGTCCTGAGTTGAAACTCCACGACACACACACACACACACACACACACACACACACACACAGCAATGAATAGCAATGATTCATAGTTATAAAAGCAACTATCTTTGTTTACCATGGCAAGGTTTACCAAGGTTCAAGTGGGGAATCCACAAACTGTACCTATGGGCCAAAGCCATTCCTCCTGTTTCCAGTGTTACTGGAACTCACACCCACTCACTCAGGGACAGAGAACATAAGGTCTGAAAAGTCCACAATGCTTATTTACTATCTGGTCCCTCATAGAAAAAAAAAAGTTTTCCAACCGCTACTCAGTAACATAGTGCTAAATCCTCAACCCAATTAGAGTAATTAAACATAAAAACACTGACTCATACTGCTCCATTCCACTCTAACAAATGGACTTTGACTTCAAAATATAGAAGGGGAAAATCTCTCAATTATAAGGGTATTTTAATAACTTTCAATAAATCATTGTGTTATACTTAAACCCAGGAAATCCTCCAGACTTGAGAATCCTCCATCAAAGGTTTTCTGTAACAAGAATTTAATGTACCTATAATTCTACCAAGTTCTCACTTAATCTACATGATACATCCCCAAATGCTCTATCCACAACTTACTACAAGCAACCCAGACCTGCTCAACACAGATGCTCTTGCATTACTAAAGACATAGTACCAGCAATTGAAGCTTTTCTTCCCAACATCATTTACAACGATGCTGGGGAACAATAGGCTTTTATAAAGGAAAAAGGACAATTAGGCAAATTAGAGTTTTAGACACTAACATTCTGACATATTTGAATGTGTCACACTATTGAATGTGTCACACTGCTGAATCTCTAAAACATGTCTTTTATCATTCTGACAAAGCTGTACACTCTCTTTAACCTTAAGGAATGCTATTCATTTGCTCTTATCTATTTCTCAAAAGAAAAGTGACCCCCCCCCTCAACTCCAGAACTAGGAGTTAGACATAAATTTTAGGATTCTGTCATCAAGATAAGAAAGGGGGGAAAAAGACTTAAAATTGTTTCCTTGAAGCTGAATCACAGAAATTCAGAAGTGAATGCCACCTATTAGAAATGTGCTTGACTATTTCAATGCCTAGCTTTGTAGGCTTTATTGCTCTGTGACTGGCCTACCCAAACAAAAGAATTATAAAGCACACAAAATCAATTTCACATAAAACTCCATGCCATTCCAGAGTACTGCAGAAAACCCAGAGAACAATCTTTTCATTTTGTCACTTTGTTCTAAGCCTTTTGTGAAATACTCAATCTTCAACACAGAAAATTTCAACTATCTCAGAAATAAAATGGGGTCTTAGGAATGCATATGTGATGACTTATTAGAAAGAAAAACCTTCATTTCATGACTTCTGTACCAATATCTTCCCATGAATACTATCAAACAGTGATCAGACAGCACTTGCCTTTTGGTTTTGATGTCTTCAAAATCAGGCTTATAAGCTCTGGAACATCAAAATACGCAGCATAGTGCAAAGCATTCATGTTTGTCCAGCGGCTTCGCAAGCTTACATCTGCTCCCAGATCAATGAGCTGAGCTGCAAACTTCACCGCCGTCTCAACATCACCTAAAGAAGATGGCCGAAATTACTTTTCTTCAGCACAATGGGTCTACCACCTCACTTAAAATGGCAAAGCAAACAACACACTGAATCTACATTTACATCTCAAGCTTACATTCAGGAGCTATTCAGAGACAATAATTATGCTCAGAAATATGAAGAAAGCCCTTTGACATAAAGGTATGTCACCTCACTGTTCTTTATGAATAAACTTTTGGAACAACCTAAAAATACAATAAGAAACTGGTTGAAACTGGGCATTGGTGGCTCACACCTGTAATCTTAGCTGCTTAGAGGGCTGAGATGTGAGGATCTAGGTTTGAAACCAGTCCAGGCAGACAAATCCTAGAGACTCTAATCTCCAATTAACTAGCTAAAATTTGGATGTGGAGGTAAAGCTCAAGTGATAAACTGTAAGACCTGAGATCCTGAGTCCAAACCCTAAGTACTGGCACAAAAAGAAAGGAATAGGAGGAGGAGGGAAGAGGAGGAGGGAGGAGGAGGAGGGAGGAGGAGGGAGGAGGAGAAGGAGAAGGAGAAAATTAGTTCAACTGTAATACATCATTGGTCAAGATGCTTTGTACTCATAAACTGACAAGTTGAATTGAAATCTTTTGTCAAGTAGCTAAAGATACATTTTCTTTAAAAAAGAAAGAAAAGAAAAGAAATACTAAAGCCGTTATAAACCACACAGACCAGTGCTGCTCACATTGGTTCTATGGACACTGTGACATCCAAACTGTAATCTGTTACATCTTCTAAGGCCTTTTCATTTTCCCTCTTTAATGTTCCCTGTGATTATACTAATTGAAACATAATGTTATGCCTTTTAAAAATATCTGGGTTTATATTCTGCCTATTTCATTATTTCTATATTATAAACATTTTTATTTTATCTTATAGGAGGGTCAGTCTCTGACAGACTATGGGAAAAACAATTCCTTACCTCTTATAGTTTAAGACATTTTATATTAGACTACTGAAACAATATAGTAACAATATCTAGTAAGTAAGAGAGGCAGGGTTACAAAATAGTAAAGCATGAAAGAGTGTCAGTTTGGGAAATCAGTTTAGGGAAATACGTATATGTTATCAAACAGGTTTCTTAAGAAGGATGAACCTCAGCCAAGACCTCCAAAAGCCTGAGGTCTGTAGGAATTACTATGCCTGGAAAACTGACCTTGGATTGACCTTGCTCTCAGCCCTCAGGAAGATTTTAATACTAATTACTCTCAACTAGTGAGCAATTAGATATGAAGCCTACTGCACAAAATTTGAGAGCTACCACGAGGTTATGAAGTCTTCCCTGAAGGAAAGAAACACGGTTTGCCAGGGACTCATTGAATCTTCTCCTCCCAGGCAATGTCAGTACTGTTGTCTGGGTGCTCTCTCAGGTCCTGTCAGGTGTACAAGAGGTGATACACAAACGGAGATGAGGGAAGCCAGTGAGAGGGTAGCACATACCAATGCCATGTGCTCCAGACTTGCAGGTATAATGTAAAAGAGTCATATCTGTCAGTCCATCTCTGTCATTCACATTACAGCCTCTTTTCAGAATCTGAAAACAAAAGGAAATAAAGACTAGTAGTATGTGGCTACTGAGGGTTATACTAATTGAAAAGTAACTTTGTGAGAATCAAGGTTCAAAGTCAACCTGGGCAAGAAAGTCCTTGAGATTCTTATCTCCAATTAACCACCAAAAAAAGCTAGAATTAAAGGTGTGGCTCAAGTAGTAGAGTGCTACCCTTGAGCAAAAATGTATAGGGATATTGCCCAGACCCTGAGGTTCAAGCCTTAGGACTGGCAAACACACGCATGCACACGCACACACACACAATCTGGGCTTACAGTTTGTCTTTATTTCATTTTTATATTATTACACTGTCATTTTATCTTACAAAAGTTAGCAGTCCATGATGGATTTGGGGGAAAACAACAACCCTTCACCACCAATTGTTTAAGCAACTCTATATCAGCCTATTTGTGTGTGTGTGTGTGTGTGTGTGTGTGTGTGTGTGTGTTTGTGTGTGTGTGCGCGTGCTGGTGTTGGGACTTGCACTTAGGGCCAGGGCACTCTCCCTAAGCTTTTTTACTCAAGGCTAGTCCTCTACCACTTGTGCTATACTTCCACTTCCAACTTTTTGCTAATTACTTAGAGAAAAAAGGCTCGTGGGCTTTTGCTGACCATGCTGACTTCAAACAATGATCCTCAGATCTCAGCCTCCTGAGTAACTAGGATTGCAGTCCTGAGCCATGGGTGTCTGGCCCTATATTAGACTAGTCAGTCAGGAAAGATAGTAATAGCAGCACTTTCAACTCCACCTAGCACTCAACAATAATAATAAAAATTGAGCTTGTCATCAGAAGGCAGGAGATTCTTGAGATGACGCCAAAGTAATTGCTACTCCAAATATGCTCCTTCCAAAAATGAGCAAATTTTTGTGAACGGGTATAATATTTAAAAAAACTCCTCCAATATGAAAGCATGTTAGTCAAGAAACATTTCCTCAAAAAAATTTAATTATATTTAAGCCTAGGATTTAACCAAATCATCTAAAAGTGTAGTTCTAATGTGGTAATTATAAAATCTCTTCTTGAAGTCCAAGTGTTTTTAAACTAATTTGTAAACCAGGCACTAGTGGCTCAAGCCTGTAATCCTAGCTACTCAGGAGGCTGAGATTTGAAGATCCCAATTCAGAAACTAGCTGGGGGGAGGGAAGAAGGGAGGGCAAGTTTGAGAAACCCTTATCTCTAATTACAAAAATACAGAATTGAGGTGTGGCTCAAGTGATAGAGCTCTTGCCTTGAAAAAAACAAAAAGCTAATCAAGAGTGTGAGGCACTGAGTTCAAGCCCCTACAAAATAAAAACAAAACACTAATTTGAGCCAGGTGCTGGTAGCTCACATCTGTAATCCTAGCTACTCAGGAGGCTGAGATCTGATAATCACCATTCAAAGCCAGCCCAGGTAGGAAAGTCCTTGGGACTCTTTTCTCCAATTAACTACTGAGAAGCCAGACGTAGAACTGTGGATCAATTAAGAGATTTCACTAGCCTTGAAAAAAAAGAAACACCAAAAAACGTCAGAGGCAGTACCCAGGCCCTGAGTTCAAATCCCAGGATTGGCACACAAAAAAAGAACAAAAAACACTGACGTGTACAAAGAAGGAACAGGTAAGAGCTCCTATGGTACACAATATCAGACCCCAGATATAGGGAGTACAGAACATGAGAGAGAAACAAACCAAAGAATTTTAATGGGCTTTTTCCTTTAACACTACCTTTCCATAAGGTAGGAGGGGGGGAGGGGGAGGCTCAGGGGAGAATCTATACCATTAACAATCCTAATAATGTATGAAGTGTTTACCTCATTTCCAATAATGTCGATGTTTTGCTGGACCTGAGGAACCCATTGCCTTAAAACAGCAAATAATTCGGAGACTGATGTTTTGGGATCAAAGAGAATTTCCTGGCATGAGGCATCATTAGGATCAAAGAAAGAAAACTCTGTTTGAAATTTAAAAAAAAAAAACGTAAATGAAATTTGATGATAGTTTTACATGTAACAATCAAGGTTCAAGAAAGACAAGTATTTTTAGATGCTATAACATGTATGTTTATCTTTAGCAATTCTTTTTTTTGTGTGTGTGAGAATACCGTATAGAGGGATTACAATTACATGGGCAAGATAATGAGTACATTTCTTATCAAGCATTGTTGCCTCCTCTTTGTTTCCCCTTCCCATCCCTTTCCCACCTCCCCCCACCCTATCCTCCCCACACACACACCAAAGTTGTAAGGTTCGTTTTTCAACATAATGACCTGTATATCTCATTGTTGCAATGGGTCCACCTGTATCCCTAGTTAAATGATTTGTTTTTGCCCTTCCCCTCCACAAATTATACCAACATCAAATGCAGGGAAAGCAGGGGTTATTAAAAGCAATGTCAGGGGCACGGGAAAGGAGGCATGTACAAGCTGATGCAACAGAGAGTGAGGGGGTCCCATGAATCACACTGCTCCTCATTTTAGAAGAAACCCAACAGCAGTATGTAAGCTCAGACCTTGACTGTATCAGGTACTATTTCTTTTGCTTTTTTT